AGCCCCAATGTCCAGCCTGGCCTTGGACACTGCCAGGGATCCAGGGGCAGCCACAGCTTCTCTGGGCACCCTGTGCCAGGGCCTCCCCACCCTCCCAGGGAACAATTCCTTCCCAATATCCCATCYATCCCTGCCCTCTRGYASTGGGAAGCCATTCCCTGTGTCCTGTCACTCCAAGCCCTTGTAAACAGTCTCTCTCCATCTGTCTTGTTGGYCCCTTCAGGTCCTGGAAGGTCACCATTAGGTCTCAAGGTGTTACACATGATTAAAGTTTGCATGAGCCACACAGTGGGGTCAGAAGGCTCGYTGGACACAGCTCACCACAGAGATCCTGGACCAAAGAGCTCCATCTGGAACATTCCTGATATACAGGACAACAGAATCTGACCTTAGCCAAGTCTTTGGCTACAATCCCAACACAAACAGCAGTTTCTGCTCATTTTCTCCAGYAAATTTGTAAATGAGGGAACAATTTCTCCTACATAGCAATCAAGTAACTGGCAAGCAGCACAGAGCCAAGTGCCAATACCTGCTCTCTAGGATGGGCTGCAGACAGACTTGGTTTATCAGGATGTGAAAAACTTCTATCATCTTCTTTCTGGAGTGTGAAATCCTCCTCCACAAATCAGCAAAAACACTTCAGAGAGAGCAAAAGACACTGTTGGTGTCAGCACAAGAATCTGTAACACACCTTCCTGCCAGAATTAACCCTCTAGAAGAAKAATTTCATCAGCAGAATCATTTCTTTGCTGCAAAGACCAGATATCAGACACACTTCATGGTCATTAAGAAAAATTCATGCTCCAGTAAAGCTGGTTTCAATCCCAATTGTCCTGGCAGCTCCACACATGAGACCCCACTGTACCAGCACAGCCTGTGCCTTACAGTGACACTGAGCTGCACAGAGATATCATTCATGTTCTCACACTTTGTAACAATTGGAATGCACCTCCCATCAAATTCCTTCCTACACAGCACTAAAAATGATTAGTCACCCYGCTGCCCAGGAAAATTGGGAATTACAGAAGCCATCTCTTCGGAGCTCTTTGAAGCAGCATAAAAAAGCCAGACTCCACAGGAATGGGTAAAGCAGCATGAAGTGAATTTTTAACTAAGCCCTGGGAAGTCCCACTGGAAATCCAAGGCAAGCCTTTGCAGGAATTCTCACCTGTTATCTTCATAATGCCTCTTCTTGATTGCAGATTCCAGCTCAGGAATTGCCAGTTCATAAAATGAAGCTAATCTGCACAAAGGGGGAACAAACCAGTCCCTGTCAGCTGAGGTTCCAAAAATCATTTGTTAAAAGGCAGAGCAAATGGCTGATTTCACTAAACCCTTCTCAACAGCAGTACTCATTAGCATCACCCCATTTTGGTGTTTTTCCCTCAAAACACAAGCAAATACATCACAAAGAGCAGCAGCAGTCTAAGGAAATCACAGAGAGGTCTTTGAAGAGGAAAGAAATTTGAAAAGCACCCAGGTGCTGATCAGAACCATCTGCCCAACCCAGAAACAGCCACAACACAGATCTGCAGCCCACAAAGAGCCAACAGACTCACAGAATCATTCTGGTGGTTGGAAAAGACCTCTGAGTTCAGAGCCYAGCTGTTCCCCCAGCACTGCCCAGGCCACCACTGCCCATGTCCCCAAGTGCCATATCCACAGGGCTGTTAAACCCCTCCAGGGATGGCGACTCCACCACTGCCCTGGGCWGYKGTGCCAGGGCTRGACAGCCCTTTCCAGGAACAAGTTTTCCCAATATCCAACCTGAACCTCCTCTGGCACAACTTAAGGCTGTTTCCTCTCATCCCTTGTCACTCTTTCCCAAGCACCCAGCTTTTGCCAAACCTCAGACATTCTCTAGCATAAAACTTGGCCATGACATCAAAGACCTTTGTTTTCAGACCTCGAAGGAACTATTGCCCTGAAACACTTTCCGCTTCCCTTGCTTTGGGTCCAACATCAGGAAGCTCTTTTTGTCCCTACCTTGTTCCTTTCCACCCTTTCCAGAGAACACCGAGTACTCTTCAGGTGGCTTTTGAAATTGTCATGCATGCCTGGCTCTAGGATAGCTCCTAGATAATGACATGCATAGAACAGAAAATCCAGACATCCCTATGTCCATATCTTTGTTATGCTGCATTCAGAGAGAACTCAGCAGCCTCTGTCTCCTCATTTAACAATGGGATAGGACACAGCAGCACATTCAGTATTTTTCTGTGCCCTGTCTGCACTCCAAAACATACCTGTAACAAAACTCATGTTTTTGGAAGGTCTGGCAAGCCAAGGGAAAGACATCAAGAAAAGCCCAGAGAGTTGTGCAGGTGTCACATAAATACAGCACAATGTCCTTCAGCTCCTGGGAGGGAAAGAGGAGTYACTGAGGGAAGAGCCAGGAAGGTTTCCCAGGAACACAGACAGAATATTGGGGCCTGGTCTTTTCCTGACTGCACAGTCTGTATCAGCCATAAACCTGTTACAGGGTCTGGGCCAGAGACAACGCCTCTCCTRAAACTCCTTTCCTKTAAAGATCTGTAATGCAATCCCAACGGGTTGCTTTCATGAGAGATCCTGTGAAATTACAAGGATCCTCATCAGATCCTGCTCTGGACAGTGGCTTTGTCCTCAATACACCCTCCACATACAGAATTCTTGCCCATCCAGTGCTCTTCCATGAAGCACTGCACACAGAAACATAGGAATCAAAGGGATGTTTTCAGCACCCTGGTCCAGTGCAAGCTGCATTTCCAAGGTGGCTGAAACAAACTGAATGACACACTAAATGATAGCTTCAAACTACCATTTATCACTAAATGATAGTTAGAAGTGATAGTTTGTTCCTCCACACAAACTGAATGACTAAGATTTTGTGAGAGACTATACTCACTGTCTTTGTACAGCCCCCAGCACATAAAACCCCTCTTAATTAGCACAGTTAAATTACACTGTTTTTAAACCACACACTTCTAAAGGAACAAAAACAGCTCTTATCACTGCCAGGGTGAGGTGGACAGTTGTGTCAGATATTCTGTTACATTATTTAAAAGCTGGTTAAGCAAAAAATTTGCCTGGTTTTAAAACATGCCCATTACAAAGGATATGGTTGAAATGAATCAGCTCAGGGTGGAAAGGTTTTATCAGCATGTCCCAGGACGAAGAGTGAAACACTGCCACAGAACAGTGGGCAGGAGCACARAGAGTCTGCTCCTACCTGGAGGGGCATGTTCCCTGGAGTCACACTGACTTTCTCTTCCAGTTTCTGGGGCTCAGCACAGGCCCCCTCGCACTGCAAACCRCACTTGTGCAAAATGTTGTTGAACACCTAAATCAGGAGAGAAGGGCAGTGTTAGCACAGCCAGGAGCCAGCAGTGGGACACTGCAGGGAAGGCCAGGAGCTGAAGGAAGGCAAGAGGGAAGAACTATCAGGTAATAATTTTAGATAAAGGCTCAAAACCTCCCTGACATACATGAACATAAATGAGGGAAAGGAGCAACAGCAAAGTCAGGGGAGGCTTAGGCTGGATATTACAGAAAGGTTCTTCCCCAGTGGGTGGTCAGAGCTCAAGGAGTGTTTGGACAATGAGTGGGATTGTTGGGATGTCCTGTGCAGAGCCAGGAGTTGGACTCAATCCTCGTGGGTCCCTTCAAACCCAGGACATTCCATGATTTTACTAAATACATTCTGCCTGTTTACAACTGCTCCCTTTCCACTTTCCAGGCTATGCCACATTTCCAGATAAAATCCCAGCAGGAAAGCAGTACCTGGAGGACAGTGGGCAGAGTTTCATCGAGGTCACTGAAATAACTGGGCTGCTGAGTGAAGATATTTCCTGAAAAGGGGAAGGAGAACATTTCCATCAGTTCAGACATTCTGGAGCAAATTTGCTCCAGGAAATGGTACTTGTAATGTTGTGCTTGTGTTATTGCTGATACCCTCCAGACACACCTACTGACCATGCAGGACACTGCCCACCCTCACTCTTCAGCTCAGGCACAAGCCCTGCTCCCAGAAAGCTGATCCATCCCAGCACCACTGGAGATCCAGCCATGGGAATATGCTCATCAGAGCAGAGCAAACGAGATGTCAGATGATTCACGCTCCAGGGGCTGAATCAATGAATAATGCAAATACTATCACTGAACATCCCCGGTTCCTTTATTTGACAACTGGAGTTGACTTTTAATTACTGATAACAGTTCAGCACACAGCAGGAGATGTGCTGCAGAATATTTCTTAAAGGTAATGAGGCTTTAGTAACACCTGCTATTATATTAGTAGGACTCCATTACCTTTACAAAATACTCCACTGAGTAATGCCATACCATAAATCCTCACCAATACGCACCGAGGCTCCTATTTTCCTGGAAATTACTGTTCAGACAATGAAAATTGAGAGTTCTCCAGCAAGGACAGAGCTATGAGACAAGTTTCAGAAAAATTAATGCCCTGAGAAGAACCTCAAGTTTATGAAGTTATGAATTACACACCAGAACTGCTCATGCCATAATGAAATCATCAGGTGAGCAAATCCTTGGTCACCTGTGTGCAGCACAATTGTGTGGCACCCCAGAGCATAATTCAAAGGAGATTTCATTACTTTTTGGGAATATTTTAAGACCCAGATAATCTAAGCTTCACATGAAAGGGAAGCATCTATCTTGCCACGCCTTGTTTCCACCTCTGAGGCTCAACAGYGGAATTCAGAGTAGAAACTAGGGAAAAAGGATAAAGGGATTAAAAATGCAAAGGTTTATCTAAGATTTTCTGTCTGGAAATCTGCATCACATGATCTCTAACACTTCTCATGTTAGTGAACTTGGAAATGAGTCAGAAATAACTACCAAAGAAATGGAAAAGCTTCAWCCCATGAGCTGCAGACAAAGTGGGTTAGAATTCAGGAAGAGCTTACTTAATCCAAGAGTAGACACTCTTCCACTCAGGTGCTCAGGTGATGTTAAAGATCACAGGACTGTGAAGGAGCACAGAATAAACAGAGAAGCTGAATCAATAGCTTCAGCACCCATGGCTGGAATGCTCCTCCCTGTGCAGACCGTGTGTGCAGACACAGAAATCCAGGGATAAGCACAGCTTGAGCAGGCTCTGAAGTGTTTGTGGTTTGGAAGCTCTGCACACATCAATGTCTGCATTGAAGTTTCAGGTTCTCCCACTTCCCAGAGCAGCGATTACCTCACACTGAATGTTTCACTTGGCTCCCAACTCCGGGAACAGCAGCACTCCCAGCTGGACTGTGCCCCATCTCCCAACCCTTCTCCCTCCTCACCCTTTCCCATCTCTACCAGGATTTTATAGAGCTCCCACATTCCTGTGGTGCTGAGGACATGTTAAATTGGCACTGCAGCCARCTGAGCCTGGGTTTAGGTCTAACAGCATGAGCTCAGCTCAGGGCAGCAATGCAGGACATGATACTTTCCTTGGCACAAAGTGCACATGGAAAAAGAAAAGCACAATCTGATCTAGAAATGAAAGCTCCCAGTTGCTACTGAACAATTAATTTTCAAGCAGTTCCACTGGTATAAACACTACTAAGTCCCCTGCCATACAAGCAAAAGCCTAAATGCAGCAAGCTGCTCCTTGGCTTTTACTAACCAATCATCTTCTGGAGCAGGAGACCATTTCCTTTCCCAAAAAGGACACAGAGATCCAGAATCTTCGGGATGTCAAACAGGAAGTTATTGTAAATAATTTTTCCAAASACAGAGGGAGTGATAAAATGATCCTACAGGGACAAAAAGAAAAACAAATCAAAGAATGTAAAGGATAAGCCATAACTTGATCAGCAGTAACTCCAACATTATAATGACACCTGTAAAAACATCTCTCAAAGGTGTCATTAAGGAATTTATTTATTTCATAGAAGGCAGCAAGTCTGCTTGAAAACAGCTTCTGTGGGGACATCCATTCTCACATTCCTGTCACACCAGGCACCCCACTGATCCATTCACCAGGAAGTGAATTAATCTCCCTAAAAGTTTAACCAAAAATCTGCCTACAGGTTCCCAGGCTGACACCAGAACAGCTCAGCTCAGGAGCAGGGATGAGTAACCAGGCACAGGAACAGCCTCTTGTACCCTGGCAGAGCAGATTCCAGCCCCAGAGACCACAGAATCAAGGACAATCTGGGAGAAGCCCCAGAACTGCAGCTTTACACCCTGACTGCTGAACCCTGTGCCAAAAACTCATCACACTGAAGGAATTCCTCCCAAAATTCTAGATGAGAAAAATTCCATTGTTTGACACTGAGCAGCAGGGAGCTGAAACGTGATTTTGGATATTCAGAAGGCATGTTTGCCTGTGACAGCAAATGTTTTCAATGCCAGTGAAAGGYAGGGCACATTCTCCCTGCTGCAGCATAGGGATGGGGCTCAGGGCTGGCCAGGTTCCCTTTCCAGAACTCCTGCTGACTCCTGCATGACAACAGACCATTCATTGCCTTCAAATCACTCGGCTGTAAAATGGTTTCAAATGCTTGCCTGCTCTTGGAGTGCTGAGGTTTAATCAGATCCTGCAATGAAAGACACCACAGAGGTGTCAGGTACTTCTGCTGAAGGGCTGCCAACTGCAGGCCCTGGTATTCCTTCAACCTGTTCCTGTCCCAGCCCTCCACTGCCAGGCCTTTCCTCACAACATCCTGAATGTCACCACTGTCATCAGCAAGAGAACCAACACCTCACGGACCAGTAAGGACATYCAGGGAGTAACTGCTGAAACACAAAGTCCCTCACTTGTCTTGCCCAAAGGCCTGGTGAAAATTCCACAGCTCCACATGGGAGTTCCATTCAAGCAATTAGTGCTGAGTATGCCTTTTAATTATAGAATCCCAGAATGGGTTGGGTGGGAAGTACCTTAAAGCTCATCCAGTGCCACCCCCTGCCATGGCAGGGACACCTCCCACTGTCCCAGGCTGCTCCCAGCCCCAATGTCCAGCCTGGCCTTGGACACTGCCAGGGATCCAGGGGGCAGCCACAGCTTCTCTGGGCACCCTGTGCCAGGGCCTCCCCACCCTCCCACGGAACAATTCCTTCCCAATATCCCATCCATCCCTGCCCTCTGGCACTGGGGAGCCATTCCCTGTGTCCTGTCCCCCCATCCCTTGTCCCCAGTCCCTCTTCAGCTCTCTTGGAGCCCCTTTAGGCCCCAAAAGGGGCTCTGAGCTCTCCCTGGAGCCTTCTCTTCTCCAGGCCTGATGATGCCAAGAAAACAGTAATTAGSGGAATTTCATTGTGTGTCCAAAACTTGGGGAAAGTTCAAGGAGAGACAATTACTAGCAGGAATTTTGTGACACCATGTGGCCCTGAGGGAGCGAAYGCTCGGGAACTGGTGGCCTGAAGAGCCTGTTCACGGGGCCTCSCTCTGTTTCTTCTTCCTGTGACATTTCCAACCATCACACGTGGGTAACTTGCTATTACTAAGCAAGGAGATCCAGGCAATCAACCACGGAATCACTGCATAGCTCAGATACTTCAGCTCTGAGTGTTATCACCTCCACACTGATAAAACCATCAGGGAGAGGAGTGCTGTGCCAAGGAAGGAAAACTATTCATTTCTCTAATTCTCTTTTGTCTTCAATCACACAGCCTGGAGCACCTGCAAGGCAAAGGAATGTTTACCTTGGACTCCTTGTGGGTGGACATCCTGAGGAAAGTGAGGAAGACACTGCGATGGAGGCATTTYTGCAGCTCATTCACCTCCGGGTGGCAATCCCAGAGCGCGTCAAACTTGCGAGGGGCGGAGCGCAGGTAGGAATCCAAACAYTTCTGCAGGGTCTCATCAAAGATCACCTGGCACAGGAAAACAGCAAAGAGGGAATGTCTCACCTTCACAGTTAAATTTAAGCACTCTAAGGTGCATTAAAAGGATTCCCATATCCACCAAATACAAACAAAGCTTTAAATTCCAAAATGGAAAATCCTTAGGGAAATATTTCCTTTGCATTCCAAGGTGCAGTAATGGAAATTAAAATGTTTGCTGAGTGACACAATCAGCGTAAACAAATCTTTATGAAAATGATGTAAAGCTCATGGCTTCCACAAGCACCTAGATGTTTATGTTTTCAGTGTCCATAAAACAATGATTACCTGGCACCAGAATTTGTCATGAGGCAAAGCCAGAAGCCAGTTCAGGTCATCTGCAATGAATTTTGCTCGCTCCAGGAACTCCTCCACCAAAGCAGGGTCTCTGATGGCAGGAGGGGGTTTGTACAGCACAAACGACCGATCTGCTTTAATTTCTGGGTGCTGCAGAAAGCCAAAAACCACTGTATTAAAACTCCAGAGCTGGAATTCTGGAGCTTTTTCAATACCAAATTRTATTAAAACAAGTGACAGGCACATCCAGTTTTTAGGAAACACRAAGTTACCTTTTAATACAACTTGACATTATAGAATYCCAGAATGGTTTGTGTGGGAAGRGACTTTAAAGCTCATCTYATTCCATCCCTGCCATGGGCAGGGACAYCWTCCCCTATCCCAAGATGCTCYMAGCCCTGTCCARCCTGGCCTTGGACACTGCCAGGGATCCAGGGGCAGCCACAGCTTCTCTGGGCACCCTGTGCCAGGGCCTCCCCACCCTCCCAGGGAACAATTCCTTCCCAACATCTAACGAAAATTTCAGTTTGAACCAATTACTCCTTGTCCTGTCACTACAGCTCCCGGTGACAGGAACACTCTATTCCCTGGTAACTTCCCATTTTCTACCCTTTCAAGGTAGTGGATTTGGATCCTTCTTTATGAGTAACTTTTTTTCAGACCTTGATCATTTGGTAGATGTTGCTCCTTGCTTTCTCTTAACCCAAGCCTGACAAAGTAATCCTCCCACACCTTCAAAACAAAGAGCAGGAGCTTCCTGGCCTGCCTTTGAACTATCTCTTTTTCCTCTGAACTGGTTCTTGAACAATATTCCATGAACTCAAACTGACACGACCATCAAAGACAGAAAGAAACATTTCACTATCCTTCCCCAGRGTTACTGAACAGGCTTTGCCCAGACATCCCCACCCTAGAAAGAGAATTCTGTTGAGCAGCAGGTCTGGGCTCTGCCTCGTTCCACACATGTGCTGAGGGTAAAGCTCCTCATGAGTGAGCAGCATTGACAGTCCCACTCCTGCAACACACCTAAAAGGCTCTCTCCAGGCCTTATTTCTGGAGAAAAGGGCTTCTGTGGGTTGAATTTTCTGATTTCATCAAGCTAAAGGCACAATGGACTGATCCCAGTGCCACAGCTCAGAGCTAAAGTCGAGGCAGAGCTTGCAAAACCTCCCTGAGCATCTCCCCATTGCAGCAGAGGTTACAGACTCAAAAGAGGGAGTTGTAATGGGAAAATACAGTTTACCACAGATGTTGAACACAGTAAATTTGGTTCTTGTGTTTTGGGGTTTTTTTTAATGGTGGGTAAAGGAAATCTCAACTATCTGAACACATTAAAAAAACCAAACTTCTTTAACTTCTTTAATTGTTCAGGCAGGCTGAACAAATTACACAGAATCACAGAATATCCTGAATTGGAAGGGGCACACAGGGATCATCCAACTCCTGGCACTGCACAAACACCCCAACAATCCCACCTGTGCATCCCTGAGAGCGTTGTCCAAACACCCTGGAGCTCTGACCACTCTCTGGAGGAAGAACCTTTCCTTCTATCCAATCCAAACCCTCCTGGCACAGCTCCAGCTGCTCCCTCAGGTCCTGTCATACATCCCAGACTGAGGGGTGGTTTTGCCCAAGCCTCAATAAAAGACAATTATTTATCAAAGCTCTTGTTTGGCTTTCAGGAAAATCAGAGCTCACCAGTGCTGGTAAAGTTCTCAGTTTCCCTGTCTTGGGATCCCTTTCTGTCAGCTGGAGCTCATCCAGAGGCAATGCTGGCATCCTGGTSGCTTGTTCCTGTCCTCAGCAAACAAAAGCAGCACAGGATGCATTTTACAAGGTCAGACAGGCAAAAGCAAAACAAAAGAGGCTGCAGCCCTGCTGCAACACACTCACAGTGGCTGGGAATCCATKTGTGCCAAGCAATTTATACCCAGCAATTTATACCCCACCAAAATGCCAAATCCTCAGGGAACACCCAGCAGCCACCTGCATGTCTCAGAGGAAAGCTGGAACATGGTGCTAAACTTTCAGCCCTGTTCCTCACTGAAAGGCCACATATATCTTCCAGGACAACAAAACATGTTTGGGGACACAGYTTAATATGGAAATTAGATATTTAAATCAGATTGCTGAGGAGCTGTGTTGAACTCTGGCCTTCACAGCCTGTTTCAACACCTGCAGTGTCTCTCCTGACAGCACAAACTGCAGGGACAACCCAAACACAGCCTTGCCTGTGCTTAAAAGAGGATTTTTAGTGCCTGTGTGCAGAATCTCACAGCACTCATCTAACATTTCAGAGAAGGGACACAGGCTGAGCYTACAAAAGCCTTCCCTGCTCTTGCCAATTCCCATGTGCTCAAAAAACCACAGCTTCATCTTCAATTGCATTTGTGGGCTCAGAAATGTTTCAAACAACTTTCTGAAATTAAATGGAAGTCAAATATTAGAGTAACTCAAYAGTAGGTATGTTATGGATGTTGTCAAAAAAGTTCAGACAAAAAAAAGAAAGCTGCAGGTTAAGAGAGCTTTTCATTTCTTTAGGAGGGTTATGAGTTCTGCAAAATAGTACTTAAAAATGATGTTCTCATTAAGAGGGTCACACATCTCCTCATCTGCACATTTAACTGCAGTCACATCACCTGGGCTGAATAACAATTAAAACAAGARCAGTGTCTCTATCGCTGAAGAATTGACACAGGAGTGGGGTCGTGGTTTAGACAGCAAGTGAAAAAATCGCATTTTTCACTCCATAAATTTGTCACAATTTAGACAAAAATTTGTCATCTAACATTTCAGAGCTCAATTAAAAAAAAAAATACAGTAGAGCAACAGCAATATCCATAGCTTAGAAAACTCAAAATAATGATGTCTTTCCAAGGGAGTTTAAAAATTAGAATGTTGACAAGAACAACTATTATTTAATGATAAACAATTTCTTTTGGGAAAAAAAAACCCCAACAACCCAGCATCAAAACTTCTCAGCTGGCTTTCAGTTCAGTTTCATCATATATTTAATTTGGCTCTTAAAATTTCTAGAGTCATTCTGAAAACTGCACAAACAAATGTGTGCTTGTAACACAGAAAAACATGCCAAGTGTCTCATTTCAAGCCTGRAAGACATCAAAGTCTCCAGTCAAGTCAAAAACATCCTGGAAGAGACAGAACCTCTGGCCAAAAGCTTATTCAGCTGGGGAAGAGAATAWACCTGGGTATGGGATAACCTCATCAGAGAATCATTCCTGATCACTCTCATAAGCTTTTTTTCCGCAAAAAACTTTGGTCTAAACCTAATCTGCCATGCCCTGGGATTTCAGGTACAGTGGAAGAGCCACACAGCCCTGACAAAGAACATGATGAACAGGCAAATTTATTTTCCCAGCACCAGAAACCATCCCTGCCCTGCACTTCCCACTGATGTGCACGTCCATGGGGACATCCAGGGTCAGGTGACACTGCTGAGGATGAGGCACAGCTGGCACTGGGAATGCTGCAGCATGGATTCATGGAATGGTTTGGGTGGGAAGGACCTTAAAGCYCATCCAGTGCCACCCCTGCCATGGGCAGGGACACCTCCCACTGTCCCAGGCTGCTCCCAGCCCCAATGTCCAGCCTGGCCTTGGRCACTGCCAGGGATCCAGGGGCAGCCACAGCTTCTCTGGGCACCCTGTGCCAGGGCCTCCCCACCCTCCCAGGGAACAATTCCTTCCCAATATCCCATCCATCCCTGCCCTCTGGCACTGGGAAGCCATTCCCTGTGTCCTGTCCCTCCATCCCTTGTCCCCAGTCCCTCTCCAGCTCTCCTGGAGCCCCTTTRGGCCCTGCAAGGGGCTCTGAGATCTCTTTGGAGCCTTCTCTCCAGGTGAGCACCCCCAGCTCTGCCACCCTGGCCCCACCCCATGCCCAGCCACCCTCAGTTACCCCAACACCGCCGGTTAACCGGGGCCCTGCCGCTCCCGCCGCCCCCCCGGCCACGTCCCCTGCCCGGTCCCTGTCGCACCGGGCCCTGACCCCCTGCCCAGCCGCTGCCACGCACTCCCGTGCTCCGACACAGGCGCTGACCGAACCCAGCCCCGCCACAGCCGCCCGAGCCCCGGTACCGGCACACGCGTCCCGCCAGCCCCGCGCCGCTTCCGTGGCCGAGCGCTGCTTCCGGCCCCGAGCGGAACTACCGGGCTGGGCGGGGCGGGGCGGCTGCGGCTGCGGCTCCACCCCCGCCCCGCGGCGGCACCGGCCCGGCTCCCGGTCCGGCGGTGGATCCTGAGCGGCGGGGGCCRGGCTGGGGCCGTGCTGAGTGACCAACGGGCGGCTTTAGCCCCAGACCCCCGCCCGCTCCCCGGGCCGGCTGCAGCCGCGGGGCTGGGGGCAGTTACAGCCCGTGGGTTGTCTTGGGAAGGGAAGGATTCTCCAGCTGTTCTTCCTCTAAGGAAAACTAGCTGGTTCAATAAATGACCTTTCTGACGGAGACCTTATTACCTTAATTGCACTGCCCCATCCATTGTCACGGGCTGGGGGAGGCCGGGCAGGGAAAGGGGTTCTGCGGGGACAGGGACAAGTCACAGCCCCTSGCCGGCTCCCTCGGCTGGGACTTCTCGTTGCTTCCCAGGGAGAGTCTGTGCACTACAGATAGACACCACAGGATAAGGGCAATTCCTGCCAATTTATATGAGCACGACCGATAGTAAGAACAGATTACATCAGTCACATTTACACCGCGCTGAAACTTCGGGAATCGGGCGCTTCCCAGCCTGCGGGGTGACACTTGACACATCCAGCCGTCACTAATCTCTGCTCCGAAGGGTCTCGGCTCTCCTCTTGACCACAGGGAACTCCTCCTGAACTTAGCCCGGAGCCCAGCTTTAGATGGCAAAGTGGCCTAAAATAGAAACCATGCCATGCGCTGTGTCATGYGGCTCATGAGGGACAGGCTGGAAGGGATCCCTGGTGCCAGTGCCCTCCGTGCCCGCACACTCCGGACAGCGGGATCCTGGCTGCCCACTGTCCAGCACTGGGTGCCGTGACCTCGCGGGGGAAATRAGGAGAGCACACCCCAAGGGCTCCCCTGGAGCCAGCAGCACAGCCGGGCTCTGTTCCCTTCACACAGAGCTGGGTGTTAGCGATTCACACTGTAAATGTCACGACAAGCTGTCTGGAACCTGCCATCTCCCCCGTTCTGTTGAATTCCTAATTTTTAAATGAAATATTCATTGTTTCTATTTCTCAAACATCAGTGCACCTGTCAGGCCTTGGGACTGGAGCCCCAGTATCAACATGCAGAACAACCTCTCAGAACCAAACCCCAGTGATGATGTCGATCYGAGGTTTGCTCCGATTCTTTCCTGGAGGAGAACACTTGGCAACTGAAACATGATTCCCTTGCAAAGGCATCTGTTTATCTCCCCTTCTATGCCAACCCTCCTCAGAGCAGTGCTGGTGAGATGCCAGGTGACTCAGTGGGCTCTGAATGTGTCATCAAGCTGTTTTGAGTCACTATTCCTCTTTTTGGGCTGTTTTTTKKTWMCYTWMCC